CTAACAGGTAAAATAATTCTATCAGCAGCTGTTAATGCTATTTCAGTTGAAATACTAAATGATGAATTTGTATCGATAAATGTCATTAATTTGATTCCACGACGTTCACCTATTTTATGTACAAATGCACGTAAACTTTGTGTAATCGTACGCCATGGATTAGAATATGGACTTATTGTATTTGAACTTCGTTTTATATCCATTGCTTTACCTAATAATTCAAGGGATGTATCACCACATAAAAGATAAACCTATATGACAAAAAAATATATTTATTTTTGTTTTTAAAAATCACTTACATTACGAGGTAATTGAGGATTAAATTTTGATACATTAAATAGAAATGTCCGTGGATCTACCGTTGTTGGTAAACCAACTGATGTAAATAAGTCAAGATAACCGGATACAGTACGTGGTATACGTTGTTGTCCATCAAGTATCATTGGATCTTTTTTAAGTGAACCAATTTGTGAAACATAATCACGACCATCTTCGTCATCACCTGAAGGCACAAAAAAGAAGAAGAAGAAGAAATTTTCTTATTATAGATATATATAAGTGAAATACGATGATTAATTGAAGAGAGAGTGTTACATAGTATGTTGTTCTCTATTGGGACAGAAATAAATATAATAAGTAAAAGAAAGAATTACTTGGAAAAATCTCTAGTTTATAGGATGTTTAATTTAGATCGAAGAAGAAGAAATTAATCATTTATTTAAGTTTTTCTTTTTTTGTAAATGAGGTAAAAGTGTATTTTTATGTTTGAGAGAAGTATATATTTATAATTAATAAAAAATATTGCATAAAGTATAGAAAACCAAATAGAATTAATTTTTAATATGAAAAGACAAAAACCATGTGGCACATTTCTTATTAACAACAGTTTTTTTTCTTTCTTTTACTCATCGCCTAGAGGTTTTCTCTTTTTTTCCTTAATTAACAATATTTTTTAGATTTTCATGTTTATTAATAATATACAAATATCGAAAACATACATTGTAAATATCTCGAAGAAATAGCAAAATCTAGTTTTTCTTTTTTTTAAACTTACCAAGAAAAGCATGACTAAGATCAGCTTGTGGACACATATCAATAACAAGAACAGTTTTATCTGGATGTCGATATGCATATTTAATAGCCAAATGATAAGTTAAATTGGTTTTACCCGAACCTCCACGATTGTTCCATATAGCATAGCTTCCCTCTATTGGCATTTTCTAAATATATACATACATAGGTACATATGGAAAAAATATAATAATTGATCTGTATATGGGTTTTTTTCTTCATTAAAAAAATTTTCTATATGTATCTAAGAAAAATCGAAAGTTTGATTCTTAGATACATTAATATATTATCAATGAAATCGATATGTGATTAATCTCTAGATTATGATTATCATAAACTAATTGTTAGTATTTTCTATCTCTCGAATTGTTTCCGTAAATATGTATCTATCATAAGAATATAAAACGCAAACCTTGCCCGTTGGCGATGAAATAGGAGTAGTGATTGTTGAAGAAGCCATTCTTTTCTTTTTTTTTGTTGTTGATATTGTATCGATCAATGAGAATATAATGATTGTCTGTCGCGATATATATGTCGTCACTCGTCTTAATAATATACTCGTTTAACGAAAACGATGACAAGTAGTAACAATAGTTGCTTTAATTAACTATTTGTACAATATTATATATGATCGGCACTGTGCACAACATTGACAGTAACATAAAGAAAAAGCATAGTATCTCGATTTCCATTTTCTTCTGTTGACGATCGTAAAAAAAAAACTAAGCGATAACGATGTCTCTATCGAAACAGAGAAAGAAGAGAAGGGAAGAAAAAAAAAAGAATCGGTCGATGCGGTCGATTGTCTTTGATTCGCTGTTTTATTCTAACATATTGCTAACAGCCCACAAAATAGAAAAACCTGGAACTAGTTTTCTCTCATCTGTTCTTGTCTAACGATCTTTTATTCTTTAACATATTTATCTATGAATGTTATGTGTTTTTCTATGCTAGTCATCTCTTACACATTCTTATATTATATACTTAACAGACATGGCAAGAACTCGATGAGTTTTTTTTATTCTTAGAATATATCTAGAAAAAAAATCCATCATTACTTATCTAGATTTCTCGTTTGGTTACGATCAATATAATAAATGAAAGTATTTCTATTTAATTTATCTCATGTGTTTTTTTTATTTCTTTTGTTTCTAAGTAAAAAAAAATAATCTTATATTTATCTATTTTAAATGATTCATAACTATCAATTGAATTTCTTCTAAAATAAATCATTCGTCATTTACAGTCGATTTAAAGATTTTCTTTTTCTTCTTCTTCTCCTTCTTCTTCTTATCGTCATCATTGAAGAAGAATAATTCGATTAATTATTTCTTGCAATCCGACCGAGATCTAAATGTATTCATTCTTTCATGAATATATATATGTATATAGCTAGAGTGACAAAACTTGTTATCTTTATAGAATACAAGACTGAAACAAGTAGACTTGTAAACTAAGCGTAGTATACAATTATGCTAATGATAGTTGACGACTTCCGGACAAGGTTGAACGCGTTTTTTTTCTCTTTTTTTTTTTAGAAGTTAAAATGGTAGTACGAAAGAAGAAGAAAAAGACAACAACAGGGAATATGTCGGATATTGACATAAAGAAAAACTATAAATATAATTCATCCTATATATATTAAAATTAATGATGACATAACAAAACAACGGAATGTCATGATTAACTATGCGCACAGTAGGAAATGAAAGATGTTGAATTGTGCATTAAAGAAAAGAAGACAAAGAAAAAGATTTTGAAACTAAGTGTATATATTTACTTTCTAATTGTATCAAATATATCAGGTAAGTAGAAATTAAATATATGATTTTCTTGATATTTATTTCAATATCATAAATATATATATAGTTAAGATTTTATTGAAAGATTTCAGATGAATACTATAAAAGTATTTCATACCTAGAAATGATTATTGTTATTGTTTATATAACATATATATATTGTCTCGTCAATAATCAATCGTAGAACGAGAATTATAGTTATATTTCCGGTTTTTGTTAATGATTTCGAACTTTTGTTAATGATAATTTATAACTCATTTGGAAAGAATAAAAATAAGACATTTAATAATCTTACGTCAATTCTCGTTTTTTTTCTCCTCCGCCCTCGTTATTATTATTATTATTATTATTAAATAAATACTAGGGAAACAAAGTGACAAAAACAATGAATAATCAAGCAATAACAACAATACGATGAGAAATGTAAGGAAAATAAGAATGAGAATTATAAACAGCATGGATAGCAAGATATTTTTTCTTCTTATGTTGTTTATCATGTCGACAACGGTAATAACAGAAACGAGCAAATCTACTCGGCGTTCTGTCTCTCATTCACGTTACACACATTGAAAGGTTGTAGAATACGCAAGCTAGTTTTCGTATAAATAAATAAATATATATATATGTATATGATCGGATAAAGTTAAAATAAAGTCTATCAACAAACGTAAAAAGGAAAAGTAAAGAGAATAACGATCGTTAAAGTCCATAGAGACAGCAGTTTAAAAAGTAGTGTACGAGTGTACTTACGTACATACACATTAATATTGTTTAATGGAAAAAAAAGAAGAAGAAGAAAAAAAAAATCTATTGACTTTGAAATGAGAAAACATAAAACGACAGCATTATATATAGTGTATCTAATAAAGAAGAAGAAGAAAACATTTCTATTCTGATAATCTCTTTTATATTTTATATTACTTGTTATCCTATTCTTCCATGTACACACTCAGTAATGATAATAATAATAACTATTATTTCTTCGTTTTTTATTATTTGCTTCAATCAGAAAATAATTTTCTTGCAAATCAATCAATGTTACATATTTGTATAAGAAAAATTATCTATCCATGTACAAAAAAACAAGATTTTTATATGATCATTTCTTTTCTTCTATAAAAAGAGAAATGTGGATACATCATCTTGAATAGATAAAAAAAATATATATATATATATGATCGTTTTCGTTATTATATATCAATTATTCTATGGAAATAAATCTATGATGGATACTATCACGATCTAATATATCGGAAAGGGACAATAACTTAATGTACATAAATCAAGCTAGACAAATAACGAAATAAATACATATTAGAAACAGGTCTAGAAAGAAAGAAAAAGAAAGCTTCAATTATCGCATTCGCACATAACATCTAGTATTTAATGCGAATGTGCACACATACTCTTTCTCAAGATCACTTGATAGAACCATCAATCAACGAACATCTATATTATTGGAATAGTCAAAAAAGAAATGAAGGAAAAAAAATCTGTCATACATTGGAAGCAATGAAAGAGAAAAACGTTGTTGATAAAAATATATGTGCTTCTCAATGATGAACGGAAATAACTGTCAATAGATTGGTACAAACCTAGTGAACAATTACAAAAAAAAAGACGATATTCTATATATAATTTCATATTTTTATTGATAAATTTCTATGAAAACAATCAATTTATCAATGTAATAATACTTTCCGACTCATCAATAATAACGCAATTATGACGTTAAATAAAAAACGAGACGTTGATTTTAACATCAAGCACGTTCTTTTTCTTTATTTATACTATATGTCGAATGAATGACATTTTCAATATAGGAAGACATAAAAAAAGAAAAATGACTCTAATCGATAAAGACCAAGTCACTTTACACAATGATATGAGGTTTTTTTTATAGTTATATACTCAACATTTTTTTTCTTATATCATCTATCGTTATGACAATATTTTTCTTAATGCAATACAATAGACTATCGGTATTGATCGAATGAGAGCAACCATAATGATTAAATAGCAAAAATAGAATCTCTATTTAAAGTCGTTCAGTATAATCATTAATCTATGACGTTTGATTTATGTCTAGTTATAGGAATGTTTTCCAGGTTATGGTATTTGGATGATACATATCAATAATTTTTGATCTCTATATCAGCTTACACACATCATAGAATATTTAGAAAGAATTCTATACTAAGTTTTATCACAATGGGGTAAATAACATATAATGTCTTCAATATTTATCGAACTCTTCACCTGTAAAACGTTTTCCTCTTGACAATTTATTGTCTCAATACGTATTGCTAATTGTTACTATAATCCATCGTAATAAAAAAAGAAGCTTTCAATCGCATTTTATACATACATCTAATTGTGAAATCATCTCTTAACCCTTTGTTGTTGTTTTGTAGTCTACACGAATCCGTACAAAATAAATTACAAAAAAGCCATAGTTTTGCTTTATGCAAGCTTCTTATTTGTGTAATATACAAGTCCAGATGACTCTTTTATAAAGCCTAGTATGCCTGTTGCCATTATAGAGTCCATATGAATTGATAAATGTTCTTTTTTCCGTCTAGATCTATGAGTTTTTATTTATGAGGATATTATGCATCAGTAGAGGATTGAAGATTAGATAAAAGGATTGGTCCTACGTGAAAACCTTTCGAATCTATTTATTTGGACTCCACAATAACAACAACAACGACGAAGGATTAAAAGCTAAGCTAATACACTTTTTGACCTTTTGATATAAAATCTGTATTTCTACAAAAAATGTATACAATACATATTATTTTTTTTGTGTGAATAAAATCCCATTAGACACAATTTATCATATATTTCAACGAGTTACTATACTTATTTATGTCAAAACTAATGTCTTTAGATTTATAAATAGAAAAATATTTTTCTACTACATATACTTTCATACGTATCATCAAATAACTTACTTCATTGATTTGAAAACTTGGTTCATCACTATTTGCACTTATAAGACTTGTTTGACTTTTTTTAATATCAGTTGTTTGATCAGAATTTAATGTTATAGAATTCATTCCAACGGTCAGATCTTTCGATTCCATTGTCAATCTATGAAATGAAAATGATAAAAAAACAAGTCTATGCTATATAAACTGATTTATGTTATTTTGTTATTTTTCCATCATAGTCTCTTAACTATTCCGAAGACGATTCAATCATGTGTATGATTTGATTCATGAAAAACCTCGTACTTAATGAATTTTATTTCTATCGTTTAGAAAGCAGAAAAAGAAAAAAAACTACGATTGTGACTTTTTTTTTCCTTATTCGGCTATTTAGCTAAATAATCAATCGCTACGACAACATTGTAAACGATCAGTAAATTTGTCTCGAAGCATTTAAGACACGATTGTGCACACAATGAATAAAAAAGAGAAAAAACAGAATATAATTATATGATACGAACTCAATAATATGTTAGATTTTTCCATCGGACCACTCGATTATCTTAACAAATTTATTAACTTACCAAAAAGAAATCAAGTATATAATAGCAGTGAACTGATATTAATAAACAACGGTATATGCTAATTGCTTTAGAAATTAGAAGGCATTAACACACGACTAAAAACTGAAGAAAGACATACACGATCAGATTGTGATAAGGTCATTATATATAGTTGATTGTTAATATATTGCTCCTTGTATCTGTCATTACCAGCCGAGATGACATTTTCAATATGGTATAACAAGCGTTGAAAAACCACATATGACGACAACACTTGCCAGAAAAATAAAGAATGCAAACAGAAATATTATTGATACGCGTATATACGTCTGTTTTTACTTTTTTAATTTCAAACATATTTAGAAATAAGAATATACTTCCGATTTCTTTTTCTTATTTTATTAACATCTGGTTTATTGTATATATTTTAAATAAAGATTATAATGAGAAATACTTTTTTTCGTTTATCTTTATATAGATTAACATTTTAATCGCTTGTTTATTTATTTATAAATAATTTCCCTGTGAATCATAATGCTTTCTCTTAGTTTAGTTCGTATTACATACACCAATAGACTATCAAAGTTTTTTATTTTAACGTATGTAAAAATAATGTTAGATATTAAAGTAATTTTTATACAATGTCAAAACATCATTTGAATTGCAGACATTTAAAATATTTATCTAAAATGAGATAATTATGAATTAATTAAAGTTTCAAAAAGATATTTTGTATATATTTCTTTGAAAAATCGCTTTAATTAGCAGCCATTCTTATTGTTATACAATTTGTATTTTTTACTATGCAAATTCTAGCAGATTAGCTTATGTGATTAATTAATAGGGACTCGATTTTATAGGAAAAATAAAAATAGAAAATAAATGTAATTATGTTTTACTTACAATATAATAATGAATAAAGCTTGAGTTCTAATGCTAAAATAATTATGATATATGTATTATAAAAAAGCAAGAAAAAGGTCGTTAAATATATACAAATCTATGCGTTATTAATGAGTTTTTTTTCTGCTTGATAAAAAGGATAAACAACAAACGCTAATTTGAAGAGAACCAAAGATGGGAAAATAATGGAATTTTCTGTCTAAAATATTAGCAAATAAACATTATTTTGTATGATAAAAAATAGAAGTTATGTAAACAACAATGATATTATATTAAGTTTCAAGCTAAAAATTCATTTGATCTTAAATGAAGTATAACATACTAATACTTTTACATGCAACAATTAGTTAAAATATTACTGGTGTGATACAAAGTATACACATATCATCTGTAGCCACCGTATTATTATACTAGTCATTAGCGACTATCATTTTTTTGTTATGATCGTAACATATTTAAAACAGCTGTAGTTTTTCATTCTGACTGATCTAAGTTATTTAATACCTATAATCATAGAAACCATATTTTTTGTGTCTTGTTCATAAATAAATTACATTGAAAAATAGTCATTGGTGGTTTCCTACTTTATTACAAAAGGAAGAATATGACTATGTGTTATGTATAATCAACGCGATAGTATATATACTTTCAGATTTTTGCTTCATCAAACCAAGAAAAAAGACATTATTTTACTGTAATAAAAGGGTAAAACCCAAGCAACAGGATATAAACCCTACTATAGAGTCGATCATTTTGATCTTTCTTTCATAAATGTCAATAATCACTGACAAATCTAATAATAGACTTACAGCAAATAGAATATATTTATGTATGTTTTATATTAAATCAAAATAAAAAAATAACTAAAAATTCTAAGCTATTATTTTATCGAGATATAAATTACTGAAATAAATCGTTTAATATTGCAAACACCAAGTCATATAGATTAGCTTTACTGTCACAAATGATGATATATAAAGTAAAATCTTAGATAAACTACATTCATTATTTTAAAAAAGCTCGTATTGCATCGATAATCGGTTTTGAATGTTCAATAAGTAACATATGTGTTGCATCAGGAATAATAGTTAATATAGAATTTTTATATAATTGATGATAACGATAAGCATTTTCAACGGGAATCAATGGATCTTTCTCTCCCCAAATAATTAATATTGGTATATTTAATTTTGCAATAGATTCAATTGATTTTATTGACGATTCAAAATCGAAATTTGTTACTGTTGATAATAAAGCTCGTAAATATCCTGGATGTTGTTGCCAACCTGATCGAAATAATTTCATATATTGTTGACGTTTTTCACTATCAGGAAAAGCCCATTCTGAACGATTTCTTTTTTCATTAGTATTTTGCATACTATATTTAAAAGCAATTGGACCAATAATAGGCATAGATAAAATAAATAAGAGAATTTTCGATGGTTTTACTAGTTTAATTCCAGCTGAACAACAGAGAATAAGTTTTTTTACTTTCGTAGGATAAAGTTCTGTAAAACGTTGAATAATAGCTCCACCCATACTAACACCATAAAGATTATAATCTTTATATGGAAGATTTAATGCATATAAAAGTTCAGCTAATTGACAAACAAATATATCGATATTCATTGGTACATGAGGAGAATCTGACCAACCACGACCGTATAAATCATAAACTAAACATGGTTGATTATCTTTAACAAGTGCTTGAAATACATCTTGCCACATTTCCATCGGTGTAGAATAACCATGAACGAATACATTTAATGGTAATGATGATGATGGTGATGAAGTTGGATGATAAATATAATGTACAGTACCAAATGAAAGTTCGACGAATTGATCGGTACCCATTTGTGTTAAAGCTTTATTAGAAGTTCGATCATATGGACGTTGTAAACGACCACGTTGAAATGTAAGACGATCATGAAGTTTAAAAAGAATTACAGATATTAAAATGATAAAAAATATAATAAATAATAACATCTAGAATTAATTTTAATATTCTAAAAATTTATTACTAAAGTTGTCTTCATCCAAAATCTATAAGATATATCGCAAAACTGTATGTCGAGAACAAGAGATTTCAATTTTTAACCTTAATATTTCAGCAGTTTTTTTGTTTTATCATAAGAAATAAGTACAAATAAAACTAATTTCCTGTTTTTAAAGTAACTCTACTCTTTTATGGTATCAAATTTGCGTGAATAACGACTTCTGTTAAGAACAAATATAGTTTCTTATCGTAGATCGCTGACTTTTTCATGAAAAGATGAAGTATATACGATTTGTAAAAGGAAAATATAGAGATTATGCATGCATAAAAAAGAGTATTCTATCCCTCTGTGGAGACAGGGAAAAATCACAAGATGTTGCCAAATAAATTCTTACATTAGTGATAGTATTCATTGTTAATTTGATTGCAAAATAACAAAGCAAAACATGTTAGAGGCAAGAAATCAATCAATCATAGATGTACCTGACCTTTATATATATGAATAAGTATCAATTTCATTTTTAACTATACATGTTTCGTGTTTGTAAGACGAAATAAGTCATTTTGTTTTTTGATTAACTTTCTATTTTTCAACAAAATGGAATGATTGGTGTAACAATGAAAAACTTAAAACAAATCTTGGAAAAGTTAAATTTCTTTGTTTTAAGTTGATGTAAAGCATAGCCAACAGTTAGTAAAATAACTAAATGTTATTGTTTTGATAGAATAATATGAAAGATAAGAGTCAACAAACACAATTATATTATCGAATCAAAATGTGAGTCAATAATAGTTATATAACTGTAACTAACCAATAAAAATAAAACATCAGAAAGTGTATAAACACAAAAGGTTTTCCTTTGTAATGCTTGCGTTATAGGGATACATTTTTAGAATATAGAACGCATTCTATATGTTTCAATAAGCAATTGAGAATAAAAACTTTCATATATATATATGTATTTCACTGGAATTGAAAAAATTATAACAATATGTACAAATTTTATTTATATACTGTTCGATATTTATTTACATAAGCATTAATTGATTTATTAATCCATTTGTGATCAATTCTCTTTGAAAATGTTGCCTAAAATGAAAATAAGATATTATTTTCTAATTAATATATCAAAATATATACTTTTGTAACGACTTTTTTCATAATTTTTTTATACTGTTCTTTGGTTATATGATGTTGTTTGAATGCTGGTTTTAATGCTTGTTTAGCAATATTAATAATTTGTCTTTGACGTTGGTAACGTTCTTTTGTCTAAATATAAAACATACGATTAGATTTTTTAACAAAATATCAAGTTTTCAGTTATATTGATAATTCTTTTCGGCAAGAGTCAAGTTTCTGTTAATCTCACCAAAGACTATAGATATGAGGAGAATTATTTATCGAGAAATATTCGAAATGGAATCTTTGTAAACTTAATATTGAAATAATATTAACTATTCTTGTATTTGTAAAACTGCATGGATTATATTAATGATAGAATTATATAAGAGCCTAAAAGATAAGTGTCTAATGCTCGTATAAACTTTATCGGAATGATCAGTAGAATGAATACCTACTCCTATGTTTAATGCTTTAATGAAATAATTAGTATCGATTGACCTCGACAATGTAGCAAATTTATTTCGTTCTTCATTTTAACATAAAAGATGGTATATATATATTAATTCACATGTAAGAAAGTATATACTTAATAAGCTCTGATTAGAAACTTACCCGTTTACTTATTTTATAATGTTCAGTTGATGATGTTGCAAGTGAATCTTCCATTTTAATAGTTTCAATAGCTTAAATAATAACGAAAGACAATTTTAATTGAATATTTTATAGATCTATTTTTACTATTTGAATGAATAGTTTCTTTTTGTATTATGTTGTTTATTGTTTTAGAAAGTTTATGCAATGTATTGATTTCATCTGTACTTAAGTTTAATACTGTAAATAGAAAATAAAAGATTTTTTAACATTTTAAAAAGTTGATTAATAATTTAATTTACTCGTTGATGATTTATCATATGTTTGTGTTGTAGAATGTTTTTTTAAACTTTGAGAAATTAATGATGGAATAGTTTGTGGAATTTCTGTAGTTTGATTATTTAATTGATTGATTGACGCAGGAATATCTAGTGCATATTCGTCATGAGTCAATAATAGATGTGAATTTATCTCCGAAAGTTTGGATGCTGAAAATGGTTTTCTTGAAAGTGATAATATAAGAGATGGAGTACGAGTTAGTGTATTTATAGAATTAGTATTATTATGAGCAGTTGATGAATCATTTGTTACTAGAAGAGACGATGGTTCAATTGAATTGAATTTTGTTTGAATTTGTGAAGAATTAGTATCGTCTGTTATTTTTATCTGATTGGTACTTGAAAGCATTCGTGAATTTGCTTGATATTCATCATTCATTTGTAATGATAAAACTAATGATAAAGATTTATCATTTATATATGGAATAGTTTGTATAAATTTATTTGTTTCTTGATTGTTCATTATATATGTACTCTTATTTTAAAGTCATCAAAATATATTGAATACTGTTCAAGCGATGTATTTGACAGATAAATATTGTAGTTAAATTGGTTGATTATTTATATGCTATACTAAAATGAATTCCAAGTTGTTGTCACATGTTGCCAAATGGTAAAAATGATATCTCAAAGAACAGAACTTTTTGCATCAATCATAATAATTCGTTTGTTAGAAGTAGAAAGCGGCGACACTGAACGTATTTCAATGACATCTACGCAATTATGAGTACGTTCATAACATGTTTGTCGAATACGAAGAAAAAATAAGAGATGATATTCTACACCAGTTCGAATCGAATAAAGTTTCTTTCTTTTGTTTTGATTAATTCTGATGTTTATTATATTAAGTTGATTTTTATGAGAAAAAAGAAATAAAACTTAGATTATTAGAGAGATTAAAGAATACAACAGTTGCTATGTGAGATTTAAGGGTCATCTTAAAATATGAATTATGTTAGATAAAATGATTAAGATAGAAACTTCTAGTTTAACAATAAATCTCATTAGACTATTTGATTTATCATTCAATCAACATGTATTCAAAATTGTAAAATATCGTAAATTTTTTAATAAAATATTTCGCGCTTAAAATTTATTGAATATATTTTTATTATTTAGAATAAGATACTACAAGCTACTTTTAATAAAATTAAAAAAAGAAGAAAGATTTCGTATCGTTAAACTTGTTGATTTTTAGGATTTTCTGCTGCAGTACGCCATTGACTAGCAGCTTTTTTAAATGCTTCTTGATGTGTCATATTCGGATCTGCTGCTTTAATTCTAGTAGAAAAAGAATTAAATGTTTAACAAAAAACATTAATTTTAACTTACTGTGAAACAGCATGTTGAATGTAAAGATTATAACTACTTTTTGTTCCTTTTTTTCCCGATTTTGTACCCTTTCGTGTGCCTTTTCGTGCTGTTTTTTTTGGTTGTCGTTGTTTAGTTGTACCAGTTCGTTTACCAGCATGTGCTTTCTTATTTTTCATTGATGTTGCTTTGACACCTTTTGCTGATCCTTTATGATGTTTAACCATATTTATTGATAAATGAATTTATATGTATCAAATAAAAGAAATGATATAGATAAATAAAATGAGAAATTGAATGAAAACTGTTTTATTTAATGAAATCAATTGAATTAGTTACCAAATATATAAGCGCGTATAAGCGCGATAAATAGAGCGGCAAAAACTGAGATTTAAAAATTTTTAATTTTCTGATGATTCATCAAATAGCATTAATCTTTGGCGTTAGATGCCTATAAAATAGGAAGATAACAATGAAAGAGAAGTCATGTTGTCTTTTATAATAAAATTTCAAATAGAGATGTATTTATGTCATGAAGAAAGAGAAAAATAAAAGTGATAGATGACTATCAATTTTTTCGGTAAAACTACGTTTCGTACCACCTCGTGATTCCGAACTCCCGTAGCAGATGTCTGTCACGAACTTCCAGCAAAAAATTTATTCAAAATTTTCATCAAGCATGTCGGAATGTCAAAATTAAATTAAATAAGCAGCATGTCCGTAATCTTGAGGGTGTGGGCGTGAGCCTTGTTCATATCTCACATTCGCACCTTCATACACACTATATCTACATCCATACCCACACCTACGTATCTTGCTTTTTCTGTTATGATCTTCAGTAAAACAGTATTTCCGAACATCTGTAATAGCCTTCAAAAATAAAATTTATTTCCGAACTCCCGGTATAAATCTCTAACAAAAGTAACTTTCACGAACTCCTATGAATAATCGTCAAAAAACAAATTTGGTTCTGAACACCCGATTATGCTGGCAGATGTTCGTAATAGGTGATACGAAACGTAGTTTACCCATTTTGTCTTTATATAGACTTTAACTATTGAATTATGAACACAAATTATTTCGTTTTTATTTTCAATAGAACTTCTTCATAGATTAATATCATAATCATGTTTTGATAACAAAGACAAAAAGTAAAGTAAATAAATGTTTTATGAATGAATATACAAGTTGAAATAAGAAAAATATTCCATATGACGGGCATAATAATATACACCAATGAAAAAGAAAGAAGAAAACAAAGAGTAGATTATATTCAATTGTGCTTTGACGGAATTTGCGCTTCTGTAATTTCATATACTTCAATTAATTGCTAAAATATAAAATATTATTTTTAAAAACAAAACTAAAAGTGACAAATAGTCTTTTTGTTTTTACCTCCCATTCATCCATCGTTATTGACTAGAATAAAATAGATTTATTTATTTTAAAAAAATCTGAAAATTAAAATACTAACCATAATCATTTGATTAGCACGTTCAGATGCATCATCTGTTTGTGTTGAACTACTACTAGGTATTCGATTCATTGCTTTATCTGTTGGTTCTAAATTACAAAAGATTAAATTAATTTAATATTTGATTTTTGTTGAAAATTCGAAATTTACCAAGTGCTGGTAGAGACACATCATCTTGAAAAAGATTAACAAATCCTTCCTAAATAAGAATTTCAAATATTAATTCTTTCAAATATTTCATAGAATTTCTATACTTTAATGAGAAAAGATACATGAAACATATTCTCAACAGTTTTTGCAAATGATGATGGATCGATAACAAATTCAAAATAATCAATTGGACTTGACTTTGCTGATATGTAAGTTTTAACAAGACAACGTTTTATATGCATTATTTGTTTGATTGTTTGTTCACCAAGTTCAGAATTAAATTCTTTAACCTAAATTCAATATTAATTTATACAAAGAAATAAAGTGAAATTTGTGTTTTTTTATCGGAAATCATCTCAATTATCAGTTGTAAAAAATTTGTTATATGATCGGGTAATCAGTTCAGAGTGATTTGTTTCTCATTTTATGATCTATCATATTATATATTAGTCTTGGAAAGAATTCGTTTTTTGTATAAAAGATTTTATCAAATTTTCTATGAAAATAATTACTTCTTCTGGTCGTGTACGTGATTTTTCTAATTCTTCTTGTGTTAACTTTTGTTGTCGAACAGGTTTGGCACGCTGTTTCTGTTTTTCATGATATTCATTAGTAAATAATTTTGTGGGTAATCGACCATTCCTACATGTATCAAGTTAATGAAGAAATTTCTAAATTTTATCTATAATAAACGTACATCATACAAGGTGCAGGTACAATATGATGAAAATTTCCAAATATTTCGTAGAATTCATTTGCATTTCCAACTAAACTTGATAGAATTTTTTCAGATTTACGTGCAAATTCATAAGCACGATCTAAACTTCCAGCTTCATCGACTGCTCGAATTCGAACACTGGCTAAATTGGAAATTGTTCGTAATGTTGATGCATCAAGTACACCTTCACGAGGCATTTTAACTTTAAAAAGAAAGTTTTCTTGTTTTTTTTATTGAAAATGATTTTCTTCGTATTTTTACCTTTAGCAAATGCTTGATCAACTTGATCAATTTTTTTTTCTAATTCATCATTATCTGGTGCTATATATAATTGTCGATTAGCTAAGAATAGAATTAAATGAATTATAAATCGAAATCATATAAATAATTTACTATTAAGATCATCAATAAATTGACGATAATCCAGTCGAACTCGTAAACGTGATTCCGCATCATCATCAGCAGCCATTAACATCTAAAATGAAATATATAGGATTGATTGAGCATAGAATTTATTTACTTGACTTCGACGTTGAGTTTGACTTCTATAACCATCATCTTCATTATCTTCTTGCCGTTTTTTCTATACAGGAGAAAGAAAATATGAGAAATTTATAAAGCTTTAGAGTATTTCTTTACTTTATTTTTTTCTGTTAATTTATTATTCACCATTGTCATAATAGGGAATTAATCTGAAAATATTTCAATGGTAGTAGACAATAACGAAAATTTTTATTTTAAATTATCATCAGTATAAAGTAATATCCAACCAAGATTAAGAAATAAAAGTAGATGTCACTCGATGATGTAATCATTCATATGTATCGAAATATAAATGTGATTTTTCTTTCTATTAGATGAACGTAGAAAAAGTAGAATATGTAGTAAAATATCATTCGTTTTTTTCAGACATATTCATAGCAATATTAGAAATATTTTAACAATACTATCACAGTAATAATAGATTTTTTCTTGCAAATAATGTAAAGATTTGTAACTTTGGGTATAAATTTATCATTAAAACTGAATAAGTGGATATATCATGTTTATTTTCCTATTAAAAGATTGGTTCATACAGTCTTATCTCGTATTTGTAACGTTTTCGGCCACGTATCATAAACTTTAGTCATGTCAGATAAAATGCATATATTTGAAGAGACAGTTGTGGAAATAATTCGGCTACGTAGATCTCAATCTTTCGATGCCATTGGATTGTACTATTTGTAAAATATACTATGACGTAATTGTCGATCAATACCAATCATTTCTAGTATATTTTAACTTTCGCGCGCACGACTGTAGTATAATTTACACGTTACTGGATCATTTTATATCAGAGATGGGCAAGTCAGACGTTTTCACAAGTCAATTCAAGTCATTTGTCGCGAAAACCAAGTCAAATCAAGTCAAGTCAAGTCATGTTTCAAGTCAAAACTCATTATAAAAAATCCTTTTATTGTATTTTTATTGGAAGACAATGATTTCAAATTTCTTAGAAAAATATTTTTGAATTTGATGCTAGGTTTTGAGAAGCAGTTATTGAGGTGATAGTTGGTAATCTTCCTGATATCAGAAGACCGTTGGAGAATCTTTTTTGCGGGAATTGTGTGTATTTTGACAGGAGTTTCGCAAAATTTCGACGGATCATAATAGAAGACCCGGGGTCTTTTATTACGCAGAGAGGTTTACTGCTTCTTCTATCTCGATTTCATCATTTCATTAAGGTGTATAAACAGTACTGTTTTGTTGATTCATTAGACTTCGATTGTTGTCACCGAGAAATTTAAATAACAAAGATTACACAACGCATATATATCACAAAGATCTTCGGTAAACAGATGATTGGGATATTAGTATTCCAATGGAACTTAGACAAAAATTCCCTTTAATAAAACTTCCCAATATAAATTTCCTGTTATTCAGAATTTATTCCTAGCAAAGTTTTAATTTTTAATTATATTTTTCTTTTACATTCTGATTCTGTAATAAGACTAGTGAAATACAAAAAAAAAGGTACATTAAAACCTCTTTATATATGCTTTTTGACTTGACTTGAGTTTATGGCTTAATTTCAAGTCAAGTCAAGTCAAGTCCAAAAATGACTTGACTTGCCCATCTCTGTTTTATATAAATGTTTTTGTTTGAATATTATCAATTATATCTCCTAATATTTCATTTGAAATTAATCAAACGATTTTTTAATGCAAGAAATATTCTAGTCATGTTTCTACTATTTCAATACTATTGATGATGGATTAATACAAATAATTTAATAAATTCTTAAAACGTGAACAAAAAATCAATATAAAACATATAATCTGTACATAAACGAAAACTTTGACACTCCTTAGGTACTATCTTATCAAGTTCAGGCGCGATTTGGCGTAAGTCCAGTGAATTTTCGTCAACTATAATAAGGCAAGATTAGTGTAAAATGTATGTGACAAATTAATTTAATATTATTAGATTAAGCATATTATAGTCTAAACCCCTAAATATAGTTGTAAGACGAAGGAAACTTCTACTAAAATATCTCTAATGACTCATCATATAGTACTATTATATTATTTTAAATAAGTATCTGTGATATATTCTTATTGATCATGAATAAATAAATAATCATTTTTGTAATCGTTTCACAAATATAATTATGAGTCGAGTATTTTTAATATAAATACAAACAAAGATTCAACTGAATAGATTTATTTCGAAAATAACTTTAAAGATTAAAGCAAAAAAGTCAAAGATTTGTTTCGATTTTTGCTATAGTTGTCTGACAATATTAATCTAAAATCTAACTATAAAGTAAAGAAAATATTTTTTTAATCTATCATACTACTGCTTGAGAACAATTCTTACAAAAAATACAATAATTTAAATGGTAATTCTATTCTACTTTTTTTCCACAGTGATACAAAAATTCTATTTTAATTTATATTTATAATTGAAGTCAATTTTTTTCTCTTTATTCTATTTTATTTGTAGAAGAACTCAAACCGAAAAACTAAAATTACAGTAAAAAAAACTATACTTTTGTGTTGTGATAGAAAAATCAATTGTAGATTATATTTATAGTTAAAATAAATATTTTTTTCTTATTATACTTCGATTATAGTTGAATATCGATAGAAATATCATCTTCAACTAATTATGGTATAATATGAAATACTTAAATATTTATTCATATTTTCATACGTCAATGATACGAGCTATGTATCGTTTAATATGAAAATAATAAAAAAAAGATGTACTTGATGTATTGAGATGATATTCTACAAGGTAATACTTGATATATTCTTTTCTTTCTGGTCAATAATACAATGACATAAGTACTGCCCTTTCTTTATTTGTCTGTGTTATCGGGTACATTTTTTGTTATTTATTATTGCTTTTTTATTTTGTGTAATTGGTCCTTCGAATATAATTGCAAAGATATAAAGTATGTGACAAGATACAATAATGATCGATAGAAAATATTCTTTCGTTTGTATCTTTCTTTCATTGTTCACCTATCCTATTAGATTTTATTTCTTTTATACTATCACTCCTTTGTCTCTTTGATTTAGATTCATTGTCAATGGGCAACAATGAAAATAAATATTTTTCGATGCGCAATATCGAGTTATATTGATTTAGACGACACTTAACAAATATATTTATATGTGAAAAAGTTCAAATTGACTTTTATACATTTGAAAGTAAAACGTCATTTCTTACGATTATATAATAATTCAAACATATTTTTTTTTGTTATATTACATATGAGATTGGTAGGATAGATACGTTTGTTACTTTATACTAATGATAAATCGTTTGAATATCGAAATTTAAAATGATATTCCCTAGACTGAAAGGATAGGGTCTAGAAACGGGAATTCTCTATTTACATGTATTATTTTGCCGGTAACATGGCACATTTGACCATTTTTCAGGCGCAAATAACCATGTAACTATGGCATATTTTTGATAATGTAATTTCATTTGCTATTATCGTTTTATTTGAATAGCATAATATTTAATATATAATATTTTATTCAATCGTATGAAAAGAGCGCTAACTTAAATATTTAAAATATTTCTTAATTATATATATATATATATAATATTTTATATAACTGTATCAAAAGGGCGCGAACTTAAAAATTTAATTTATTCGTTAAAAAGGGCGCGAGCTTAAATATACGAAATATTTCTTAATTATATATAGATCATTATTTTATTCAATAAACTAAAATAGTGTGGCAAAGCCAATTTACTTTTAATACGGAGAAAGATGAAAATAATATTAATAACAAAAAAACGAAACGTTCGTGCACATAGTACTATAAAGCTTTGAAAAAATATTCCACCTATTTTTCTATAGCATATTATTTATCATCATCGACAAATATTTTTAATACATGTTTGAAAAAAACAATGATGTACCGAAACGTCCTGTACGACGACTTATTAAAATAAGATCAATAATGAGAAGCTTAAAAACATACGCATTGTAATTTGATCATATTAAAAGTCTAGTAGTTGCATTATCGCAAAACATTTTAGTAAATTTGTCAGTTTAATAGTCTTGCTATACTGCATATAGATAAAATAGTTTAAAATCAATTTTGATATATAATAATAAAGAGATTTACACTAATTCTTTTTTAAAACCCTACTTTTTTTTATAAAACTGAGTTTAATAAAGCTAAAACATTTGTAAACTTTATTATTCATTCGTCAAATAACAAAACTTTTAGAAAATGCTTGATTTTATATAAAGTCGATATTCAATTTGATTTCCTTCTGAAAGTCAAAACTAATATTGATCAACTCTCATTCGTACCTAAATACAATCATATCCGCATGCAGACCGCGACAGTCTAGGGTTAAGTGAATCGAGTTTCGATGAACGTTACTTGTAGTATATATAATCGATTTTAACAGGGTTATACAAAGCATTTGGTTCTGTATTCACTATATAATATAATCTAAACAGATTTCAACTCGAAAAATTTATAAGATCTAGCAAAAAAATGATAACTTAAGTATTTTAATTGAAAAACTATACTATATACTCTTTAATCAAATTAAGTATTACTTTTACACTAATTGTTTTCATATTAACTGATGCTATCAATTGATTTTTAATAGAATAGCACAGACGTTTCATGCCTAACACAAAAAATTTATTCTTCAATAAAACTACACATTTTTAAATAAATAATTATTTATTTTATCGTCAAAAATAACATAGTATAAACTGGACAATATTAGCAGTTAATACTGAATGATATAACTATTTAAGTTAATGTAAATAACACCATTTAATTTATCATAAATACTTTTCTATCGAAATTCTTAATCCATATTTATCCTATACTCTTTTTTCTACAATACACCTATTTGTATATCTACACGTGATTTTCTTTTCATATAATTACGCATAGGTATGTCGTTCTCATATTCTTCAATCGTATGTTAATATCACGCATACAAGTTGTGGTTAGTTTAAACAGTCCATATATAAAAAACAATACTTATTCTTTGTATTGTCTTGTACACTTTTTCATTCATCCAAATAATACAGTTAGATATTATCTGTTTCAGATACGTATCACTATTTCTTCAATTATTTAATCATTCATATTGGTTTGCTAAAGTATCACAAGCAGATACTCATCTTAACAAAACCTTATGAAATTAATGGACCACTTCTTCAGAAACTTGTTTCTGCTGCTTATTTTTATGTCAAATCAACACTAGAATATGTCTGAAGCAAGTTTTTTTGGTTCATCAGATACTGAAGCAGGCAGTGTTGATCCATGTCATCGATTACTTATGTTAAACTTTGTTCATTTACTTGATGATGCTGGATATAGTGTTGACAAAATCAATGGTACAAAAACACCAGTAATTATTGGACAATTTTCAACAGATCATGCAGTTGCAACAACTCGTATGAAACCTGAACATCGATCAAGATTTCATAGACCAAATACATTATAATATAATGTATTAACACGTTTATTATATCATTTTAATATACATGATCCAAATGTATCATTAGATGTTACTTGTTCATCATCATTAGGAGCTTTACATATGGCTGTACAATGTCTTCGTAGAGATGAAGCTGATATGGTTGTATGTGGTGTCGATCATTTAGTACTGATGCTAATCATTGTGATGAAGGTAAAAAGTCAAGTGATTAGTTTTCTATTTAGAGATAAATTTAAATTTGAATTCTCTAGATGATGGTCTTAGTCTTTTATGATTAAAACGATTGAGTGATGCTGAACGTAATTGGTGATCGTATATATTGTGCTATTCGTGGTGTACTTAGTGGTCATGATGGAAATGAAGATAAAATAAATTTTATTCTACCATCAGCTCTTCTTATTTGTCAATGGGTACTACTAATAATGATAATTATTAATCAATGTCAACCATTTTTATTTCTTATTTTACCCATCTTTCACCTCGTATTATATGTCATTTGTTCACGTTTATTTTCATTTAAAAATAATAAATCTGATAATATTTTCTCTTGGAATTATTATCGATGGTGGTTTTTAGATCGATTATGGAATAATAATAGATTTTGGTTACAACATATAATTATCTTCGTCTTTGTGGTGCTGATGTTAGTCTTGATGCACATATTTATAGTACAATTATGGATGCTCCATAGTTATTAGATATTGATGATGGAACTTGGATTGCTGATCAAACAGTTTTTAATTGTTTACATTTTAATAATGATAGTAATACTTTTCAATTATATCCAGTTAGAATTGCTTCTAATTGTTCTATTGGTACAAGAACAATTTTATATGATGGAGTTAATATAGAAAAAAATGTTATTGTACAACCAATGCCATCAGTTAATGGTTTTGTTGCATCTCAAACGATTATCGATGGTGATGATGATAAGTCTTCTTCCACAAATACAATCATGACATACAATAATAGACCATTATCAATATGGTATAAGATCTTTCAAGTTATTGCACTTTGCTTTCTGATCTGTATACATTCGATACTCCTGATCATCATTTACAAAGTTTATTCAATTGTACAAATACCATTACCTATTGATATTGCTTTTTGTTGGACATTATGGTCAATTCTTGGTTGTTTTATTTCTGTTATTCTATTGAAATTTATAGTTGGTTCTTCTACTGCTCATCAAATACATCCAATTGCATCATGGTCATATTTACATAAATTATGGCTTCGTCAACTAACTGTATCTAGTTTTCATCATGCATGGTTACTACCAAGTAGTAATGATGATACTTATCCTATTGTACTTCGTTGGTTAGGTGCTCAAATTGAAGATAATGTTAAAATCGGTGAAATAGATACATTCTTGTCTTATCCAACAAATTTATTACATTTTGAAACAGGAGTTACTACTTTTGGTTCAGTATTATTAGTTCCAACTGAGTTAACACTTTCAGGTGATCATTGAGTAAATCATATAACACTTGGATGATATACAAATCTTGGTAATGGATGTTCAATTTTACCAGGTAGTCATCTTGCATCTGAGATAATGATTGGTAATTTAACAGGTGTTTTTCAAGAAACGAAAAGCAACGATGTAGAAGTTTTTATTGGTGTTCCAGCTCGTGTCATGCCGTTCAAAATGCCTTTAAGATCACCACTAACAACAACAACAGATGAAATGAAAAGTATTCCTATTTGGCATACATGTTTTACTCATTTCATTAATAAATCTCTTCTCTTAACCATCTATTCATTAACTGGTGTCGTTAATATGTTTATTATTCATACAATACTTATCTGTATCACCTATCGATATCGCTCATACATGCGCTATCCAGTAATACAACAGATGATATCAAGACTAAGAAAAGATCATCAACAATTCATTTGTCCATTTCTTAACAATACACAATGGTTAATCAATTTATTTCGTGCACTTGGTGCACGCATTGGCAAAGGTGTTATCATACCTGATTTTTCTTGTCTCACTGATTATCATCTAATAACTATTGAAAATGATGTTCGACTTAATATGCATGCTAATATTCAGGTAAATTATAACTATATTCTTTTATAAAAAATTGTTATCTTTAAATTATTTTAGTGTCATAGTTTTGAACAACGTATCGTAAAAGTAGCTCCTGCGACGATTGGAAATTCATGTGTGCTTATGAGTGGTTCATTTGTAATGGCAGGCTGCAAAATTGATGGGTAACAATAGACTTTACCCATTTACATTGATAATGAAAAATGATCTCTTACTACCAAATACTCAATGGAAAGGACTTCCTGCAAGTAAGCTATTTACATAGATAAAATCATACTTATCACTAGAGTGATATATAATAAATCAAAATATATCACAAAATAAAACGTGAAAGGGTTTATAATTCACATAGTAGAGCTTGTTTAGAGATCAAATTATAGAATGTAAATTGAATTGCATTTTTCTGAATCCATTTTAGTTCAAATGAGGTTTCATTCGAATAGTATTTGGTCTACTTGATCAAGTATAGATCATAGGTTAAAATGTATCTTTCGCACAGTTAGAGATGTTATGTTAAAGTTCATATTTACATGAATTGTCATCAATTCAAACATTCCTGCAAATAGAATAATTAATAAAAGTTTGTTTCCTCTCTATCGGTAGTATTAGATTTTTTTAAATCGACGATACTTCCATCAATTATTTTTCATGTGACGTTAGATTACGTTAAATCATCTCTCATAAAACTAGATCGAGTTCAATTCGATTCAGAGTAATTCATTTCAGTTTCTAATTTATTATGAGCCACCCACTATAATACTTGTGAGATGCTATTTAATATTTAGGAAATATAACTTTGTTCATTATAATTGTTCACTATTAATTCAGTTCTACTATTAATGAAACGATACATTCTGAACCTTTAGTTTTTATATTGAATCAATTCTTTATAGTGAGATAGGCTTATATACGATTACGTTATTTATTGTTCTTCAAAAACTAAAACAACAAGCTCAATTAAAAAAGGATTGAACTGAATGTACCATACTGCATAATTTAAGTATTCAAAGTGTTTGTAGACAATCACTTGAATATGATTAATTACATTCTGCTAATGTAAAAGCTGGTATACGTGTTCAACGTGTACAACAAGAAGTAAATTTATCATTTATACGTCTTGTTTATCAATTTTATACAGTTGTTGGTAATGCACTTGAAGATACAGGTACTGATAAAATAGCAAAATCAGATACAAATACAGATACAAATGGGCAAAAAATAATTCTACTATTTTTACACCTGAAAATGATATTCAAACTCTTGTTTTAAAATCTCTTGAACCGAATATTCTTCATCTTGATAATAATGATTTAGATAATTATGAACGACAATGATGGAAAAATTTACATGAACTTGTTACTAATTATAGATTTGTACCAGAAATATAACCAACTCAACCATCAATAACAACACGAAAACAACAACGAAGTGGTTCACAACGACTAAATGAACATGTATTACAACAAAAAAAGCCAACACGCCATATGGAAATAAATGTAACAAATGAAACACTTACTTTCATCATTTTGTTGGTTAATTAACGATGAAATAAATTATGCAGCTTCTTTAGGTGGTTTAAATGTTGATGATTGTATGAGAAAAGTTCAAGGAAATGTTAATTTATCACGAAGACTTCGAGCTTTACAATCTGCAACAAATAATCAAGATACAAAGAAGTAAGATGAATATTAAATTTACACTTAATGAAACTTGTTTATTATTTCGTGCGTTTTGTGAGGCGAGATTGATAGTATGATTTGTGGAGCTCATTCACAGTCGTAGAAAATGTAAAATCATTTTGTTAAGCCTTCTTCTATGTTTATTATTTTATTTTGAATTAAATTTAATATTTAGATATGATAGTTCCAGGGGGGTAACAGCGAACTTCAAGACTTCAAAGACTTCCAAAGACTTCCAAAGATTTCAGAAGACTTCGATAGACTTCAACAGACTACAAGAGACTTCAATGGACTTCAAAGACTTCAAGACTTCATGCATGAAGTCTCTGTTGTATACCCCTTGTGATAGTTCATTAATTCTTCAAATTGATTCAACATCTCTTTCTTTGAAAGAGACTCTTTCAACGTCTACTGATAATCTTTCACCGAGAAATATTCCAATAATTCATCCATCATCTTCCAGTTCGACTTCATTCAATCGACAAATATTTGTTCTTTATATAATTGTTGGTAAATCTCAAGCATTAACATTAAGTGATGTTACAAATATTGGTGCAATTGCAATGGATGTATCATTAAGACCACAGAAAGTTCATGATCTTGTTAATCGTGCTGGTCGTTTAATAACATCTTATGTTTAAGAATTTCTTCCTGATGATACACAACAAACATCTTCAATACCATCAATAATTAATACAAATAATAAATTAATTAATACAAGTTTAAATACAGTATCTCTCATTCCTCAAACAATTCATACAGTATCTCCTCATTTTTATCCATTTGTGTTTGTTATCACACATCATGCGCAGCTTAATATTGGTTCTGATTACAATATAGTCACATCACCAATTATCGGACTTGTACAAAGTTTGATGAGTGGGTATGGATGCGACCTATAATTAGAATCCATCTCATCCACACCCGTCTGTGCCGAACGAAATATTCTTTTTAAAGAAATTTTTCTATTTTCAAGCCCAGAAAATAGATAAAATTTTAACCCTCTTACACGTTTAAGATCTCTTTTGTAAAATGAGATTGTTTGTATGAATCTTTTTGTCGATTATTTTTAGATTAAACTTTCACCTTTAATTTTCAACATATTAGTTAAAATATGACAACATCGTACTATGTGTTATATGATTTTTGTAATATGGCTCGACTATATCCTCAGAAAGTAGCAGTAGTGCTTGACGATCAAGTATGGACTTATAGCGAATTGATTATGCAAGTAGAACGTGTCGTATATCAATTACATCACTTAGGCATAGTTCAAGGTCAAATAATCTATCAATTCGTTGAACGAAGTTTTGAGATGATATGTGGCTTTTTTGGCATAATGTATATAGGTGGAGTGTATTGTCCACTAAATCAAACACTGCCGCCTGTTCGTCTTAATATAATTCTCGAACAAATGCAAGGTCAATGTGTTTTAGTACATGAAAAAACACTTGATCAATTTCCAATAGCAACTGTTCAGCATGTTATTATGTTAGATAATATTCTTTCTCCATCACTGGATATCGAAGTGATGAGTGATCTTCCAATTTCTAGGGAGTATGGTGCTGCATTTATCGTTTTTACTTCTGGTACTACTGGACCACCAAAACCAGTTGTTCATACATATAGAAGTTTTTCGGCAAGTATTGCTTCTTATATTCGATGGAATGTCGGTGTGTATACAGCTCGCGATCATGTGCTTCAGGTTGCTACAAGTTCATGGATTTTACATATTACGGAAATCTCATTGCCATTAGTCGTTGGTGGTACTCTTGTGCTTCTGCGACAAGGTGGTCATTTAGATGTGGCCTATTTTTCTCAAACTCTAATGCATCAACAAATAACGACGCTACTAATAGGTCCTGCAATAATTCGAGCTCTCACTAATTATATTGAAAATAGCCAGCAAACGAAAACATTCGATACTGTGCGTCATCTGTGTACGGGAGGTAATAATAAACCTTGGATTTATTTTTGACATCATAGTTTTTACTCGTCTTACATAACTTAGGCGAAGCAATGAAGCCACAACAGTGGACTCAATTTGTTAATTTGTTAAGCTCTTCTAATGTTCAGCTTTGTGTTCTATATGGTAATTCTGAAAGTATTGTAGCTCTTGGATGTCAATTGGTAAATATCAAAGATACAAATATTCCTATTGGTTATCCGTTGCCAAACATTCAATGTCTGCTAATCGATGATGATGGCAAGATTATTAATACTACAGATAATTCGAATAAAATTGGTCAAATTCATATAGGAGGTGAGTAGCATCCATTCTACTCGTCTGCTCTTATATTATGTGTTTTTCACAAGGACCCACTTTATTTGCCGGCTATTTAAATGATCCTGTACATACCAAGAAGAAGTTTACAACCATAAATAATCAAGTTTATTTTAAAACAGGTGATTTGGCACGATACAATGCACAGGGAAAACTTTTTTATGTTGGACGTACTGATTTTCAAATTAAAATACGTGGTCAACGAGTCGAAACAACTGAAATTGAAAATTCAATTACGAATTCGTATCCTGGCAAGATTTCCGACTGTGTTGTTACTAAATTGGCACAAAATGATGATCTACTTGTTGCTTATGTGGTCTCAAAAGATTCCGAGCTCGACACTGAACAAATTCGAAATTACTGCAATAAATATCTTCATCAATACATGACACCATCCATCTTTGTCTTCTTGAAGCAGTTGCCTTTGAATGCGAATGGGAAACTCGATCGCCAGCGTCTTCCAATACCTGATATCTCGGTTCTGTCGACCAATGGTATTGATCATCAATATATAGAACCAAAAAACGAATTGGAAACGCTTGTTCATTCGATATGGTGTAAGGTCCTTGGCTGTAATCGAATCTCAATGCTGACAAACTTTTTTAGTATTGGCGGTCATTCTCTTCTATTCATTCGAATCTATCAATATTATCGAACGTTATTTAATTTTGATAGTGAAACAATAAATATTCAATCATTTCTTGAATATAATACCATAGTCGAACATGCAAAACTACTAGAAAATATGAAGATCAATAATATACAAACAAAAGAATGGCATACACTACATATTTATAAATGTAAGGCGTGTAGAAGCACTTCTACATAATGATACAATATTTTTTTTCCGAACTTATAGGTATTGCATCATATGCTCAACAACGCATATTTCTTTATGAGAAAATGCGCTTTTCTGGAAAAGTTGCTATTTACAACGAGCTGCTTGTTCTACAAGTTACAAAAGGTTCATTATCAGCGAATCGTTTATTGCAAGCTCTTCGCTATGGCCTAAGTAAACATAAGATTTTAAGAACTTCTCTAGTTTACATTGATAAGGATAATACTTTGAAACAATCTATTACCGATAAACATCTGACATTTACAATGGCTACCGATCAAACATTTAAAAGTGAAACTGAACTTCAAAACATTATTTCACAAACAAGTACTAATTCTAATCTATTCGATTTATCAAGTGGTCGTGTTTTTTATTGTCAAATTCTCAGACAGCAGATGATATCTAATGAAAATCATGATACAGAAATGATTACAAGTTCTGATGTTCTTGTTATCGGTTTTCATCATGCTGCAATTGATCAATCAAGTGTCTCAATTTTTTTAAATGATCTATGTAATACTTACAATAGTAACATGACGCGGTTAGAGGACGAAGAATCATTACAATATATTGATTATAGTGTTCATGAACGTCTCATCGACATGACACCGTCACGCGAGTTTTGGCGTTCACAACTAAATGGATACTATCAAAAATGGCGATTCTCACTGCCAGTTGATCGACATTGCTTATATAGTGATCAAAGATCTGGATATGCTTCCATTGCTCATATCTCATTTGATAATGAGATTACGGCATCATTTCTCGATTATGCATCTTCACATCAAGTCACACCATTTCAACTAGGTTTAGCTACATTCTATGCATTTCTTTTCAAGCTAACATATCCACAAAATGATTTATGTATTTGTTGTCACAATGCAAATCGATACAGAACTGAAATACAGAATAT